CGTTTGAGCTCAGGTGTTCGGTCACCTCACGAGATCACGTTGCGTAACGCCAGGCCTAATCTTCTCCCCGCCCGAATCGGGTGGAATTGATAAACTTATTAATTGATACGGTACTCCCCAATTAGAGCGGAAATGGGTCCCCTCAGAATGAAGATCCCGTAACCAATCCGTGAAACTCGCGAGAGCTCAACTATATAAAGGCACCAACCCCAATGACACAAGGTACGCATGATTTTTCTACTCTCTACCTCTCTAGCTCTCAAGCTCTCAAAGCTTTTAGCTCGCACCACAATACACTAACTTAAGCATTGGAGCGACCTCGCCGGGTTGGCCACCCTGGGTTTTCTAATCCATTGTCTTGTAGATTCATCCAACTCGTTGCTCGATTGGAAGCCAGATCATTCTCCAGCTGGGAGTAGTCAGACCGCGCTACATCATGGGTCATTTGAGCAGACATCTGGTCACACATGAGAAGGAAGAAGATGAAGGGAGAGAAACAATTCAAACACAAGTTGGGAGGGGGAGTAGTTTTGGTACTTTTAAATATTCACAAGAAAAAATGAGACAAGAATTAGCTAAGTATATTGTATATGCAGAACAACCATTTATATTAGCTGAATATCCAAAGCTTGAAAAATGGTTGCATAATTCTGTAAATCCACTATATAAAAAAGTTTCTAAGAATACTATTAGGTCAGATGCTTTAATAATTTTTTATTCATATAAACAAAATTTAATTTCTTTGTTAACAAATCTTAATTCTAAAGTTGCGATTACTTTGGATGTTTTGACATCCAAATTTAATATAAGTTATATTTGTGTTACCGGCCATTTCATTGATGAAAATTGGCTTTTGAATAAAAGAATTCTATGTTTTACTAGGCTTGAATGGCCACATACTGGCCCAGCTATTGTTGCAAGTATTTTAAATACTTTGCATGGTTATGGAATAGAAAATAAATTATTTTCTATTAGTTTTGATAATGCCAACAATAATGATTTTGCAATAAATATTTTAAAGTTTCAATTAAGACCATGCTTAAATGGTAAATTATTTCATATTAGATGTGCATGTCACATCTTAAATTTATGTATTCAAGATGCCTTGAATATTACTTCTACTTATATTTCTAAAATTTGAAATTGTATTATATATATAAAAAGTTCAAGGGCAAGAAAACAAGAATTTAAATATTTATGTCAAAATTATGGTTTAAAATATAAACATTTTATATTAGAATTCTACGTATGCTATGTTAGAAAGTTGTATTTCTCATAAACAAATTCTTACTGATTTTTATAATTCAAAAATGCCTAAGATATGATATTTGAAGAAGACTGGGAAATGGCAGTCTATATAAGAGATTTTTTAAAACATTCTTATGATGCAACAAATGAATTATCAGGAATTTATTATCCAACTAGTTGTAATTTACCTTACCATATAATGGTAATTAGTGATTGTTTTGCAAAATATAGAAATAATCCATAATTTCATTGTATTGTTGAAATAATGGAAAATAAATTTAAAAATATTGGAAGAACATTTCTCCCCTTTATTGTTAAACTACAATATTAGACCCTAGGATTAGGAAAGATGGTTTAGATATTTTAACTGAATCATATTGTGAAAATATGAATATTGATATAAGAAATGAAAAAAGAAATTAATAATTTATTATTTGAAATGTACAGTTGATATGAATATGAACTGTACATTTGTACATCTTCTACTTTTGACCTTGAGCCCAATAGTAGAAGAGAAAAACTTTTTTATTTAATAAGTATAAGGCAGAAATCTGCTATTTCTACAACAAATTCATTTATTGAACTTAATTTTTATTTACGAGCAAATTTTTCTAATTTAGGTGAAGGATCGAATAATTTTTATATTTTAGCTTGGTGGAGTGAACATTCGAAAAATTATCCAGTTCTCGCCGCAATGGCACGTGATCTACTAACCCTTCCGGTGTCTACAATTCCATCGGAGTCTTGTTTTAGTGCAAGTACCAGGGTGTTGGATGACAAAAGAAGCTGCATGAACGATGAAAGCATAGAGATGTGCATTTGCTTCAAGGATTGGCTAAATGCAGAAGATAGGTTACAAGACAAAGGAGGGCATGATACTATACCGGATATTTCACCCGAAGCAGTTGATGAAAGTCATGAATCACGATTCATGAATTTGACTACTTATATAGAAATTTTTATTTTTTTTTCAAATTATTGTATTTTTTAAATTTTTAATAGTGTAATTTTGTATTTTCAATTTGTAACTATATTGTATTTTTATATTTTATTAATTTATTCCATTTTCATATTTCATTCATCCAAGTATCCAATGATCCAATCATTGTATTTGTAATTTGCACCTTTCAAATTTAATTGAAATAAAATTCCTATTTTTCTTCCAATTTGTTATTCTATATTTCTTATTTCAATTGGTTAAGTATTTTTTTTCATTTATGTGTTAGATAACTTAGATTTCTCATTTCTTAATTTTTTAAATAGTTCTCAATTCCCAAAGTTCAAAGGAAAGTTAAATATTTTAGTTTTACAATTTTACTTAGAAAAGAAATCAAAATTTTCAAAAAAAAACAAAAAAGTAAAAATAACAGTGCAGCCTAGTTCAACCTAGGCCCAAGGCCCGCTCTATTCAAAAATCCAATTTAAAACCAACAAAAAAAAATGGATTTGTTTGCTAGTTTAGTAACGAGTTAATAATTCAACCTTTTGGGTCAAATGTGTCAACTTTTGATGTCATAATTAAATAATAATAATTAAAAATATAAAAAACAAAATATAAGAAATACAAAAAAATTATGAAAAACATTTGGATACATCTCTAATATTATATGTTAACTATATTACACTAAAGTAAGTATGACAAATAAGCATAAGTTTTTATAATTTAAAATATAAAAAATTATAAAAATTTTTGAAAACATATTAATCATTATCATCATCGACAAAAACTAGCACGTGAAAAAGTACATACACACTTTGTAATACATATAATTATGAATTATCAATGCCTCGATCTTAATCCAACCCAAAGTATTGGGTTCAGATTAGGGATGGCAATTTCGTGGGAATTTTCAGGTATCCAACCCGTCTCGACCCTAATAGGACCCATTTATCAAAATCCTATAGGGCTTGGGATTTTAGATTAAAATCCTATAGGGTTTGGGATGGGTTTGGGTTTTGACTTTGGGGTATCCGATACCCGATACCTGGGATGATAAGTATGAACCTATTAATCTATTATATTATATATCATGCACAAATTTATAAATCTTAAGTACTAAGATAATTATTCTATTATTGATATTTTATTTGTATAAATTTATTGGGATTAAAATCATCATTTGATGTAAATTTGGATTTGATAGATTGTTTATTTCATTTAGTTATAAAATGCTAATTTTAAATATTATTTCTTTTAATTTTTAGTTGGAATTGTTAACCATATACATGCATTGATTGTTTTGATGAACACAAAAGTTAATAAAATCTATTTTATTTCATTAAATAACACAAACGACGAGATGGCTTAGTGGCTTAAAGTAGTATTAAGAGATTTGGTGTAATCATTAATTGATTTGGGTTTAAGTCACACTATAAGCACTAAGAAACTTTTTTTAGTAGAAAACGTTTGGTCAAGGGGTTTAACGGGTGGGACGGGTTTGGGAAATTGAGAGGAAAAGTTAGAGAGGTTTGGGACGAGTTTGGAATCAGGGATACATAGGCGGTTTGGTAATGGGTAGGGCAATTTGCACGGGTACCCTACCCATTGCAATTCCTAATTCGAATTAACCATCGCTTGAACTTTAACCAACCCAACTAAGGTTGCAACTTGGGCCGGGTTGGCTCGAATCCAACCCGAAAAAGATGGGTTGGGTTGGGTCGGGTTGATGCTTGGGTTGGGGTTAGGATTGAAATTCATGAACCTAACTTTATTTCGGGTTGGGTTAGGGACCCCTTAGGCAACCCAACCCAACCCAACCCAAACCCAACTCTATAGTACATGTCATATATAAATATATGTTTTATACTTATATGTAATATATAACATACATTGATTTGTTTGGATGCATGATATTTGTATAGCCCCCACCACATAGTATCATGTATTTCTTTTAAGATAATCACTTTACTTAATCCTAATCATAAAGACTAAAACCTTAATAACATTATTTTATGTTTTTTGAAAATTTTATTCTTCATTTCCTCTTTGCTATTTGTTGCCCATAAAATATCTATCGTAAGTCATAACTCATAATAAAATAGTAATTTCTAACACTTGTTTTTATGAATTTTGCATCAAAAGAACAAAAAAAAAATCCAATAAACAAATACTAATGAAACGTAGGATTAATATATGTAGTGAAAGAGTTAAGGTCTAAAATCGAGAAATTCTATAAGATTTTAGGGGATGGGAAGAAGGTTAGATTGGGCCCAACCCGAAACTGACTTCAGATTGGGTTAGGGTTAAAGTTGGGAGTTTAGAACTTAGGAATGAGTTAACCTCAATCCAACCTAACCTGGCCCAACTTGCAGCCCAAAACCCAACTCTAACTTTTCATGTTTGTTAACCTCGCCCAAGTTGCAACTAGAATGGTGTGAGGAACATCTCCCCGTGCAAAATAACATGTAATAAGAGTTCAAACTTGTTTTTTATATTTTGATAGATTAGTTAAGGTTCTTTTATATTAATACAGATACAAATTTGTAATAAGAGTTCAAATTCTACCTAATTTTGCTCTCTTTGGTTGCAGTGCATATTTATTTGTATTAATATAAATACAATTTTTTGTTTTGACTTTATTTAGGATTTTTCTTTACTCTACTTAATATCTTAATTTACTTCATTTGTACCGCAATCAAATAAAATAAATTAAAATTTAAAACCAAAATAAGTCAGCATTTACACTTAAATCATTTACACTACCGTGGTTTTGCATCGGTAAAATTTTATTTACATTGCAACCAAACACAGCGGGGCAGCGTAAAAGTCGGTTGATAAGCCGGCAACCAGCAACCTGCGTCTGTCGAGACCCCATATTTGATTGCGCGCGCGCTCTCTTTCTCTGGATATTAACGAGTAAGTGATAACTGATGGAGGGTTCTTCGCGAGAGAAGCTTTTGCGAAAGCGAATCGCATCGGCGGTTCGGGAGAAATCATGCCCCATCTGTCTGAACCCCGTCGAAGATCGCAGAGCGGCAGTTCTCAGTGGCTGCATGCACGCCTACTGTACTGACTGTATCCGAAGATGGAGCCAATTCAAGCGAACTTGTCCCCTCTGTAACTCTAACTTTTCTTCATGGTTCTCCAAGATTAGGGTTTCGTCTGGGTCGTTCCAAGTCGAGCGCCTCCGAGATCTTGACAGGAATAGAGAAGGCCATCTCAGAGGTGTAAGAGGCAGGTCGGTGTTTCGAAGAAGAGACACCGAGCGGTTCAATACGAGGCGGGGGCAGTTGCCGTGGCGTCGAAGGTTTGGGAGGTCGGGATCCGTGGGTTCTGATGTTGTTGCAGAGCGAGTTCTTCGGTGGCGCGCTAGGTATGGTCGTTTGTCTTTTTTGTGTTCTGAAAGTAGTCAATGATCGATCGTCCTCGTTTTGATTTCCTGGAAATCTGTCTCATTAAGCTATTCGATGTAGGTGATACTTTTGTGAGTGTTATTTTGGTGATGAGTCGAGCGGTTTTGTTGATTTTGGTGTTTCTGTATGCCTTGATGCAGCATCTATGACAGACGATTGCGAGCGGTTCCTCTTCCTTCTCAAGGACAGGTATGTAATTGGTCCATCAAATGCACTATCACTGCATAAATATTCGTAATGTACAAGATAGTTTTACCCTAACCCATCAAGAGAATTATTACATATCAAGGAAATTATCCTCATTGGGATCAGTATAATTGTCCTCACGAACACGAAGGATCTCTTTGTTTGCAATGCAAATCTGGACCAAATTCAAATTTTGCACCCTGTTCAAATTTCATTTACATTAGCAAAAGTAAACCAAAATCGCACTCAGCCTATTTGCATTCCCTGCATTTATGCTAATGTAAATGAAATTTACACTGCAACCAAAGTAAACCCAAACTTCAAAATTCGCCGTGAAGATTTCATAAATTCCGTACTTTCTAATATTTGTGCGATCAGTCTTCTGGAACTTTGTTTTATATATTATTGATTTTTATTACCAGTAAAAATAAATGAATGGGTTTAATCATAGGGGATAGATCGTGTATAAATGTATAAAGATAACGAACATGCTGCCTGAAAAGTCTATAATCGATATATATCATAAAAAAAAAGTCTTTTGAGTAAGAAATAGTAGTTGCAGTATGTAAATTGCAAGAAAATTCATATGAATAAGCTCTGTAGACTATTTGGTAAGGATTGTCATACCCCTGGGGGAAAGCAAAGAAAGAAAAAAGGAACAGCAAGAAGAGTATACCAATGGTGCAGTGTTACTGTTGTTAGTAAACAATTCTATCATCTCCCGGGATCATCATCCTCCCGGGAAAGCCAAAGAAGAAAGCAATAGTGAGAGCAATAACATTATATCGATGTGTACAAAGGGCTTTCAATAGTGTCTAGCTTTTATCTTTTCTGCAAGCTGGACCTTTTTTTCACTTACTTATTGAGTCTTTTTTGTATATTCCCAATGTACAGGCTCTCATTGTACATGGGCTGATGTATTTGGTTCTCTTCTAATACAAACCAATACTTATTCAAAATAAATAAATAAATAAATAAATAAATAATTGTACTGAACACTTAAGTTTGAAAAAAGGAAATGTTATGGAAGAATTCCACTATTCCTATTTGATGCATCAAGATTCAAGAGTATTTTGCTCTTCATGGATTCTTTTTCAAGCATCCCGCATATTGCATTAAAGGTACCTTTTAATCCACTTGACACCCCAAAACATGAAACTTAGCATCAAAACAGCTCCTTAATTCTGTCAATTATGGAGTCCTTCTCAAAGACCTAAATTACTTTTGAAATTTCAAAAGTATTCACTCTGATTTAAAGGCCCACTAGAATGGAATGCAAGTGGGATTTGATATATTTAGAGATTCAGATGAAGTAAGAAATTTTGTAAAGATATGGATAAAGATTCTGTTTGGATTCTTCAGAATTTCCAACCCACCTGAGTCTATGTAAGAAGAATTGATTGTGAAAACATAAGTGCATTTATGTCAATTACCATAATTATCAATTCTCGGTATGAATATCATCGTCATATAAACCTTGTCCAACTATATGGGGTTGGCTAAACAAATCCTGTTTTGCCATTCCATTTTGTTTAGTACTTCAGTGCCAAATTCTGGTATGCTTTAATATATTTTATCTAAATACTGTTTTTCTTCCTCAGAGCATATTCTGGTATACTTGAGTTTGATTCAGGAAAAACAAATTCTCCCATTTTCATATTTACAAGTCAGCCCTGCCTCCTATCTTGACCACACCAGCACAAAGCTTTTGTTATCATGGACTTTCCAAGTTCACCTTGACATATCATATGTACTAAATTTTCTTCAACCCTGATTATCCAGTTCATACTTGTACTACCGTAGCATAGATTATCTTTATAGGTTTTATTTTATTTTGTTAATTATTTCTAAGTCTGTATTTTTTATTGCCTTAACTTTTATGCATAGCCTTTTATCTTTGTGAAGGTAAAAAAAAATTATACAATTTCTTCCAGACAAATTGGTTTTGCTCCTTGCTGAGGCTACAATTAAATGCTTTTGCTGTAATATTTTCTGGAGCATGTATTTTTTCACTCTCTGCATCACCAAAATTGGGTCCACATCAACAATAAGTTTGACATTCATCCACCATCAGAATATCACAGGATATGCCTATAGCAAGGAAAGAATGCAGCAACGAGTAGAACCATGGATTCGGAGGGAGTTGCAGGCTGTCCTTGGTGACTCAGATCCCTCAATTATTGTCCATCTGGCTACATTTCTTTGGCTGGCAAGTCTTGAAGATAAGCTTAAGTCTCCTCAGGAGTGCCTTGGTGTTGATGAGTTTGTCAAACAATTGAGGCCTTTCTTGTATGATCGGACTGATATGTTCTGGCATGAACTCAGGTATGTTTCTCTGTGTAGCTCATTTCAGCTCCTGAAAAATCTAAACCAGAGAAATGCACTCTTCATTCTTCCCATGTTAATTATGGGAATTTGCGCCACTCCTCTCTGAATTGTTGTTTGTGAGCGAATTATGCTATTACCAGTTTGTAATTGCGGGGGAAACTGTTTGTATCCAGGTGCTTTGCAGAATGCTCGTATACCATGGAAACATACGACTGTTTGGTTGAATATGAACGGTTAGATTAAATGCATTGGAGGGGATCTAAATTCAAAAATTATGTTCTTTGCCCTGTTGGATCCTGATGTTCTTGTGGGTGCTGTTGATGGGCAGATTCAGAGAATCCCATCTTGCAGAAGTGTGTATGTGAAGGGAAATATTCATTTGTTTTGGATGTATTGCAATAAATATCCAAAATCAAAATCTGGTGATGTTTAAGCTTTGGAAAAGCCACTTTGATGCATGTGGAATCTCGTTATATCTAGCTGCTTTTGGAGAAATGCCTAGAGGTAACCACCTGAATGTTTTAGATTAGCACCATCCAGATATTTTGTTTCTTGTTTTCGGTATATAAACCATCATTTCCACTATCAATTGTTGAGCATAGAAATTATCTCATATCCTAGATGGTATTTTATCACTATTTCATATCCTTGACGAATATCCTTTATGAATTCATTAAACTAGTACTTAAGTCTGAAGTGCTTAAAACGTTTTCAGATTCAAAGTGTTCAGCCGATCTTCATTACATGGTGCAAGGAAAGACCTGATCTGGGGGTTAACAGAAAGTCTGCCGATCTTCATTTGAGAGGGGACCTTGAAAGTGCTAACAGTCAACGCCATCTCTGCTTTGAAGACACATGATCTGTATTTATTTGGTCGGTAGCCCATCGGGATTGGATCCCTAGTCTCTGTGGAACAAGCCAGTGAGTATCTGTAATCGACCTTGGCAAATAAAGCTCAACAAATGTATATATTCAATTTCAATGAGCATCCTGCAAGAGTAAATAAAATAATGTAGCATTTTTACTCTTCTGAAAGATCAACTTGTGATGCTTCTATCGTGGTTGTTTTTCCAACTCGTGAAGGCTGGTTAATCGGCATCAGTGAAACATTATGTTTGTTGGAAATGGTTTCAACGTATTGCTGTAAGTTCTGGATTTGGTTTGGTAAAACGATCTCTGACCTTCAAGCAAATCTTGATATGGATTACGCCTATTTAGTATTTATTACGTTAGGGTTCGACTATGATATGGAAAAGATACGATATTTGAAAAACGTATGACCAATCAACTAGAACCATAATGTGGTAGCCAATCAAGCTATCTTCCTCTGCTTGTATTCATTTAATAGTTATATTTTTCAAGTTATGACCGGTGTTTATAAAACTGGATCGAATTGGGTGGTCAGATCGGTTGAAATGTGACCTGGGGCTTTGGATGGTTCGGTCACACCCTAAGAACTGTATTTGGTAAAAACCCATTAAAAATTGATTGACTGTCCAGTTTAACCGCAAAACTGCTCAGTTTACCATTCATCTATTTTATTTAAGTATTATAAAAGTTGTAAAATATATTATATAGTATTTGTATGACCTATAGTGTATATACGTATATGTTATGTCATCATTCAATCTCATGTTCGACCTTGGCTGAACTTATAATCTGTGAAGCTCTCCTTTTCTGGTTCTATGTTCGATTTGGTTCTCTAAACATGTGTTATAACACTTTCTATACCCAGATGGCACATCTTCAATTTTGTTGCATTAGCTTAAACAATTTCACTTTCAGCTTATATAGTCAGAAGAGGGGGCCTTAGAGAAACAGTTGAAAAGGTATGGTGAGAAGAAGCTCAGGGAAATCATGCAAATGAAGTCGTCAAGAAGCCAAAGAAGTTAAAACACCAATTAAAAATCGGAATTTAGAAAGTTTCGGTCCTAACAAAAATAAAACCATAGAAATAGAAGATCAATTAAGCAAGATGATACAGGAGGAAGGGGAAAATAGAAAAAGTAGAAAGGTTGCAAAGGGATGGACAAATGTGGCAATTGAAGTCCATGGAACTATGATTAAAAGATGTAGATCAGAATGCGAAATATTTCCACCAAATGGTGAATTTTGATTGTGGAATAAATAACTGGGAGGGCATCGAGGATGGAAATGCAAGAGTTTTTGAATTACATGAAATTGCTGAAGCCTTCAAATAGTTGGCACTAGAAATAAGTGAGGGGAATCAACAAATGAAAAAAATGCAGATTTTAGGGGATACAACCTGCCAGAATTAGATGAACAAATAAAAAAATCCTAGATTTGTTAATGCTTGCGGTAGTCAAGAGGTATGAGAGCCCACTTAGCCCTGGGTTCAGATGGATTCACTCCTTACTTTTACCATTGGGACATTATTGGTGTAGAAGTGTGAGAAGTATAATTGAAGAAATGGGGTTCCCTGATCAGTTGCTTAAATTGATCAACCACTGCATAGATCTCCATCCTTTGCGATGAAAATCCAATGAGTGGCAAGTAGATCATTCACATTAGAAAATGGTTTAAGACAAAGGGACTCATTGTCCCCAAATTTGTTTATTTTAGCTATCCACACACTCTTGGTTATGCTAAAGAAAGTGCAATAAGAAAAAAAGAAGTTAAGATGGGGCGGGCGGGTTGAAACTAATAAGAGGAAGAATTCCCATTACTTGTTTGCTATTTGAAGATGATTGTTTCCTATTTTGTCGAGTTGATGTTATATAAGTTTTAGGCTGCATTTGGCAGTGCGAATAAGACCTTATCTCTTTATTGCAGTTAAAATGTCCTTATGAAAATTGAGTTTTTAACTTAAAAAATGAGACAAGTCCTTAAAATAAGGAATGCCAAATGCAACATTAATCACTTCAGAGGTGTTACAGGAGTTTGAAAAAATTTCAAGAAAAAATAAATGATGCCAAGAGCGGGATTTATTTTAGTAAAAATGTGTAGAAGAAAGATAAAAAAACTATCTCAAACTCTAAAAATGGGCCAATTGTCATTATATGACAAATATTTGGGATGTAAATTACGGGTGGTAAGAAGGATGAAGTCTGAGGCCTATAAGGACTCAGTAGACAAAATCAGAGCACAACCATCTTCTTGGAGAGTTAAATTGCTATCGTAGGCAGCTATCAACACTTTAAAGTTCTGTGCCCAAAAAAAGGTCACAATTGAAATTGAGAAGCTTTACACGGATTTCTTAGAGGAATAAATCGGGCCGTGCTTCCTTTCCCTGGGATGCTTTGGGGGTCAGCCCAGCACGGCCCACAGCCCAAGCCCATGCGGGCTAAGTCTTGGGCCAGGTTGGGTCACGAACCAGGCCAAATCATGTTTTTTTAAAATTTTGAAAAAAAGTAATAAAAATTTTAACATAAATTAAAAAAATAGATAAAAAAAAATCATAAAATTTTATTTTATATGAATTTTGATGTATACAATTATTTATATATGCAATAATAAAATGAACTAATATAATAAAAGTGAAAATAAAATTATATATATGTATATATATAAAATGTATATATGAGTCGTGTCGTAGGTCGAGCCATGGGATGGGCTGTACTAGCATGCGGGCCACATGGCCCGCTCGATCGTGTGTTGTGCCGTACCGGCCCATGGTCCTAAAATCTCAGGCCCGATACATCCCATACAATCGTGCTGTGTCTGGGACGGCCTGCATTTTGTCGTACCATACCAGCCAAAAATCCTGCTAGGCTGTGGGTAGCATGGCCCGTTTTACAATTCTATGATTTCTTATGGGATGGAGAAAGGGAAAGGAAATCAATGCACCTTATAGGTTGGGAGAAATGTAGAGAAAAGAAACAATGGGGGGTTTGAGTTTCCTCAAGAGTGGCATATGTGAACAAGGCTCTTTTTACTAAACAAGTTTGCAGGTTTCAAACTGAATTGAAGCCACTGTTATAAGAGTGATTAAACAAAAGTATTTAAATAACAAATTTGCCTTTTCTCAACAACAACAGAAGACTGGTCACTCACTGTGGTGGTCTCAAATGTTGAAGATTGCCAAGGAGGCTCTAGAGCAATGCATGTTAGCAAATTAGCAATGGAGAAAGAGTTTTTGCAACTATAGATCCTTGGATCTGTATCATTCGAGGGGGTATTCCTACCCAAAAGATGAATATTGAAGAGAATCACAAATGCTACAAGTAAAGGATCTACTAACAGAGATGGATCATGGAAGACAAATGCCATTTACAACCTATGTGACAATGAAACTTCAAATTGTATTCTTGCAAACAAATTGCCTCATAACATTTTAGAGTTGATAATCTCTTTTTGAATTTGAAATCAGGTTATAAATTGTTCTCTTCCAAAGAGCCATCTTTTGGGATTCACATATTAGCAGTTGAATAAAATCTCATGTTGGAAAATAATGAGAGGTGCAAAAGGTTTATATACAAGAGTGGCTTATAACCCAATAGCATAAGTTGTTGGGTTGTATGTGATGTCTCTCTCTTGTGTGCAAGTCCTATGCATATGTACGTGTATGAGCCCCCTAAACCATCTACTAGCAGTCACTCTTAGGTCCCATTCACTTTTTGGTAAGTTACCTACTTGGGTAGAAGCACTTACCTAATCAAGTGTTTCTTGAATAAAATAATGATTATTTTAGCCATAAAAATCCCATCCAAGTGTTAGCAACTTTCCCCATGTGGGAAAGTTATTTATCCACTTGATGGATATATCCAAGAAAATAAACTTTCCCGTCCCCACATAAATCAGTGCAATCTGAAGTTTAATTGCCAAAGTTTTTACTTATATTTCAAGAAGTTTAATTGTCAAAGTTTTTACTTATATTTAAAGCAACTCCTGGTAGAATTGGAAGGCAACAGTAGACAATCCAATGACAATTCAGCTGAAGGAAAACATAACAAATATATTTATGGATGGTTTATATAATAATGCTCATCTGAACAAAGCATCTTATGGAATAACTAGTATGTCTTACATTGGTAACGTGCTAGTAGCTCAAGGTCGGATATGCTAGGCAACTAACGCAAAGGAAGGTGAATGGCAGGCCATACAATAACAATAAGGACAAATTTTGGCACAAAGTCTTGGCATTAGCGGTGGCAAATGGATGGGTTAATTTGGGTTGGGTAAGGGTTGAATATCAATCTACCCATATTGATCCATCAATCCACCATGACCCATCATCAGTCATTGTTAAAGGGTCATAACCCACCCTAACCCTAATCCTAATCCACCTTGATCCATCCATATTGACCCACTTGATCCATCCATATTGACCCTTAACCATTCTCACCCATACTAACCCACCTACCCTCATTTATAAATACAAATGAGTTAGGTCATATGACAAAAATGAGTTAGGTCAACCCGTATACCTAAAAATGCAAAAATTGTAGATAAATGCAAAAAAAAAACAAAATTTTGTAAAAATACCAAAAAATACTAAAAAATTATAGAAATTTCATAACTTTTGCAAAAAAAATCAGAAAATATGCAAAGAATACCAGAAACTTGTAGGAAATGCATGAAAAACACCAAAAAATTTAAAAAATATGCAGAAAACCACCAAATGTAAAAAAGAACAAAAATTATAGAAAATGCAGAAAATTGTAGAAAATGAAAAAATGCATAACTTTTATAAAAGTGCTTTCATAAAAGTACTTTTATAAAAGTGCTTTTGTGTAAACATACTTTCATAAAAGTGACTTTAAGCTTTCATAAAAGTGTTCTCATAAAAATACTTTAATAAAAGTGCTTTCGTGTAAAAATGTTTTCATAAAAGTGCTTTTGTAAAAGCACTTTTAGTGCTTTCGTAAAAATCCTTTTCATGAAATTACTTTATAAAATTGCTTTTGTAAAAATGTTTTTGTTTAAAATTGCGTGTGAACACGAAAGTTAATAAAATCTAATTTATTTCACATTTAATCTCAAAATAAAATGTGACATGATGGTTTGGAAGTGTAATGAAATGTGGGCAGGCTAGGAGGCATTAGGGCTGTTCATAACAAGACCCAAACCGACCAACTTGGTCCGATCCAACCC